GGACTTCTGAGGTTTTGGACAGTTTCTGCTTGAATTTGTTTGCACGATGTCAGAATAGCCTCCCAGAGCTGCTGTTTGGATGTAAACTGCCTCCCACCCTCATAGATCTTTTGCTTGAGGATGCTCCAAAGGTTCTCAATAGGTTTGAGGTCAGGGGAGGATGAAGGCCACACCATGACTTTCCCTTATTTTATCCCCATAGCAGCCATTGATGCAGAGGTATTCTTTGCAGCATGAGATGGTGCATTGTCATGCATGAAATTTTTTTATTACGGAAAGCATAGTTCTTCCTTCTGTCCCAGGGAAGAAAGTGGTCAGTCAGAAACTCCACATACTTTGCAGAGGTCATCTTTACACCTCGGGGACCCTAAAGGGGCCGACCAGCTCTCTTCCCACGATTCTGGCACAAAACATGACTCCACCACCGCCTTGCTGGCGTTGCAGCCTTGTTGGAACAGGGTGGATGTCCACCAACCATCCACTACTCCATCCATCTGGACCATCCAGGGTTGCACGGCACTCATCAGTGAACAGGACTGTTTAAAAATTAGTCTTCATGTATTTTTCTGCCCAATGCAGCAGTTTCTTCTTGTGAGCATTGGTTAGTGGTGGCCGAATAGAAGGTTTATGCACAGTTGCAAGACTCTGGAGGACTCTACACCTTGATGTCCGTGGGACTCCAGAGGCACCAGCAGCTTCAAATATCTGTTTGCTGCTATGTAATGGTATTTTAGCAACTTCTCCCCTGCATGGATCAGGCAGTAATCTTCCTCAATGTGCTTTTATCTGCACTAACCCCTGTGCTCTGAATCAGCCACAAATCTCTTAATAGTGTGATGATCACACTTAAGTTTTCGTGAAATATCTAATGTTTTCATACCTCGTCCAAGGCATTGAACTATTTCACTCTTTTCAGCAGCAGAGAGATCCTTTTTCTTACTCATATTGCATGAAAATGGTGCTCTGCTTTATAATGTGGAACACCCTCCTTTAGTAGTTTTTCCTTAAATTGGGCTCATCTGGCAATCTAATTATCACAGGTGTCCAGGATTGTTTTCAGTGATCAAAAGAGCCCTGAGATACAATGCCATCCATGAGTTAAACTGAAAAACTAAATATTTAATCTTTGTGACACTTAAATAGAATTTGCATAATAATTTCGAACAGGGTGTAGTTTATACTAAGTGACCCATAGGTTGAGGAGGCGGTGACCGTGGCGGTGTAGGTGAAAGCAGCGGTGGAGGAGGAGGTAGCCAACACTGTTTTTTATGTATATATATATATATATTTTTTAATTGGGGTAGCCCCCAAAGTATTGGGACATATAAAATAAGAAACATTTGCATCCTGCGGTGCATTTCTTGCAGTCCTGATGCATCGAGACATGCTCAACTCCTGATGCATGGAGAAAAGGCCTTCACAAGCCTCTGCTATTGTGTACATAGTTTATACTAAGTGACCCATAGGTTGAGGAGGTGGTGACCTTGGTGGTGTAGGTGGAAGCAGTGATGGAGGAGGAGGAGGTAACCAACACTGTTTTTTTATATATATATATATATATATATATATATATATGTATATTTTTTAATTGGGGTAGCCCCCAAAATATTGGGACATATAAAAAAAAGAAACATTTGCGGCCTGCGGTGCATTTCTTGCAGTCCAATAACGCCATCAGGTTTTTAAAACTGTCCGTCTCCACCAGACGGAATGACAGCATTTCAAAGGCCACAAATTTTGAAATGCTGGCATTCAGGGCCAGGGATCATAGGTAGCTATGGGGGTACTTCCTCTTTCTCCCCAGTGTCTGGGAGATGGACAGCTGAACACTTCCATGGAACAGTGTGGAGATGCTGGACTATTGTGTACCTGGCCTATGCTGGTGCAGGAACCCACCCTCCGAGCCACTTGTGAATGACTTGCCTGACAACCGTGGAAATGACCCCTCTTCCTCCTCCTCTTCCTCCTGTGCCACATCCTCTCCCATCATTGCCCAAAGCGTTTTTTCAAGGAGACATAAAAGCGGGATAGTAAGGCTGAGAACGGCATCATCGGCACTGGCCATGTTGGTGGAGTACTCGAAACAGTGCAACATGGCACACAGGTCTCACATGGAGGCCCACTCATTGGTTTTGAAGTGATCCTGTTCCGCTGAGCGACTGACCCATGCATGCTGCAGCTGAAACTCCACTATCGCCTGCTGCTGCTCGCACAGTCTCTCCAGCATGTGCAAGGTGGAGTTCCACCTTGTGGGCATGTCGCATATGAGGCGGTAAGCGGGAAGGCCAAAGTGCAGCAGCAGGGTGAAAACCAAAAGCGCGCACAGACGGCACGCACTTTCTGCAGCAGGTCTGATATATATGGGTTGTATATAAATTCAGCACATGCACCAGGCAAGGGATGCCCGTGAAACCGGCTAGGCCCAGAGCTGCTACGAAATTTCGCCCCTTATTATCGCACACCACCAGGCCGGGCTTGAGGCTCCGTTGCAACAACCACTCATCGGTCTGTTGTTCCATGCCCGTCCACAGCTCCTGCGCGGTGTGGGGTTTTTCCCCCAAACATATGAGTTTTAAAACAGCCTGCTGTCGTTTTCCCCTGGTTGTGCTGAAGTTGGTGGTGAAGGTGTTAAGCTGACCGGATGAGGAGGTGGTAGAGGAGGAGGAAGCGGAGTAGGAGGAGGAGGCAAAAGCTGTGTATCCAAATAAAGATTGTCAAACATTGCATCCTGGAACTGTGTCCCATCCGGTCACTGGGGAAATGGGTCTGACCTATTCTAATCAAAGGGTATAATCTACGGTTACCCAGGTCCCGCTTCAGTTGGTGGCAAGCGGTGGATTCAACAGACCCATGGACTACAGTGCTCTAAAGCGACCTACACTGTGTGGAGCCAGAGGAATAACGCCTGGTGGGCGTAACATGGCCGAATTGACTGCTGCGCTCATGGAGGACAACCAGGCACGCAGTGAGGTAACGAACCCCAGCCAGGGGCTGGAGATGAGGAGGAAGTGCGCAAGGAGGTGAAACGGCGCCTGGCATATTACCGAGAGCCACCCTCAGAGTAGATTGTCAGCAGGACCTTTTTGGAGGTGCAAGCCTATGTTCTTGCCAACAGACAGAGGGAAACTTCCATGAACACAGATGAAGGAAGAAGGGAGCACAACCACCCTGGCCCACAAGCTACAAAGCTCCAAAGAGTTCAAGGAAGCAGAAGAAGGCATTGATGACTTTTTACAAGACTTTGAGCGCCAGTGCCTACTCCAAGACGTGGACCCCAGCGACTGGGTCACCATCCTGGCCAGCAAACTTGTGGGGATGGCAGCGGATATTTACCAGGCTGTACCAGAAGAGCAGATCAGAGACTAACTGTGAGGAACTGACTCTGCTGAATAATCTGGCCATTTCATGGAGACCGTCGGATCAGATTCTGCATTGGCCCAGCAGGTTGCTTTTAATGCAAGAACTATGCAGACCCAGGCACAGACCATTCAAGTGCTGCAGGATCAGGTAGCTGAACTGCAAAATGAAGTTCGATCAATGCATAGTGAGCTTACCAGCTACAGGGCACATGATGTTGCGGCTGCTGCTACTACTACTGTTACACCTGCACAAGATGCCCGCTTGCCTCTACCAGAAAAATTTGGAGGAGACCGCAAAAAATTTAGGGGTTTCCTAAATCAATGCCGTTTGCATTTCATGATGTTACCTAACCGTTTTCCATCTGAAAGAGAGAAGGTGGGATTTATTTTTTCCCTCTTCAAAGATGAAGCCCTGGCCTGGGGCTCCCCTTTTCTGGAACAGGACAGTCCAGTCTTGGGAAATTTAAAAGACTTTCTTGAGGCCATGTGCCTAGTTTTTGATGATCCCAATCGCTGTGCTACAGCAGAAGCCACTCTCCTTCATTTACATCAAGGGAGGCACTCTGTGGCTGAATATGCTGCTGAATTCAGACAGTGGGTTACTGATACTACTTGGAACCAATCAGCCCAGAGGTTCCACTTCAGAAGGGGTCTCTCAGAAGCTATAAAAGATGAGCTAGCTCGTGTTGATTTTCATGTTGAGTTTGATGCATTTGTGCGGTTGGCTATCCGTATTGATCGGAGACTTTCAGAAAGAAGATTGGAAAGACAGGGCTCTTTTAAACCAAGTGCTACTCCTACTTTCTATTCAAGAATTTCTACTCCAACCCCACAAACACCTACAGACTCTGAACCTGAGGCTATGCAGGTAGATCTAATAAGAGGGCCATTATCCAATGAAGAAAAACAGTGGCGACGCACTCACAATTTATGCCTGTATTGTGGTAGTACAGGGCATTATGCCATCAATTGCCCTAACAAGTCTAAAAGAACAATAGCTATGACTGCTGAGGGTGCACAGATTCAACACCAATCCCAGATTTCAGACCAACTGGATTCTGTCACACAACCCTTGTTTTCTCTGGCTCAGGGTGAAGAAGGTATGATGACTCAACATGCTCATTTGGTGGTGCCTATCACTTTGCAATATGGTGATAATAAAATTTCAACTACAGCTATGATAGATTCCGGAGCAGGCAGAAACTTTATGGACATTAAATTTGCAGCAGGAAATAAAATTCAGCCTATCCCTAAATCTTCACATGTGTTAATGGAAACAGTAGACGGTTCTCCACTTACGTCAGGCCCGGTTACACATGAGACTGTGCCCTTAAAATTGATTCTGGACGTGAATCACCATGAGTCTATATCTTTCCACCTAATTTCCTCAACACAGTTTCCAGTGATTTTGGGTATACCCTGGCTTGCTCTGCATAAACCCAAAGATTGATTGGAAGACTAGAACCTTGTCCTTTCCTTCAGAACACTGCTTAATGAATTGTCAACCCTCTAAGGCGACACCTGTTACCACAACAATTAATGAAATGGTTGCTACAAACTTAACTAAGCTTCCTCTACAATATCCTGATTTTGCAGTTGTCTGTGATAAGAAGAATGCTGATCAGCTTCCACCTCACAGGCCTTATGATTGCCCCATAGAGCTGCTACCTGGAGCTGCTATCCCATTTGACCATATATGCTCCCTTTCTGAGCCTGAATTGAAAGCACTTCGTGAATACATACAAGAAAATCTTGCCAAAGGCTTTATTCGACCATCCACTTCTCCAGCAGGAGCTCCTATATTCTTTGTAGAAAAGAAAGATGGCAGTCTACGGCCATGTGTCGATTACAGGGACATTAATAAAATCACTGTTAAAAACCGTTATCCCTTGCCTCTCATTCCTGAACTTCTGGAGAGACTTCGTTCAGCTAAAATATTTACGAAGCTTGATCTACGGGGGGCATATAATCTGGTTCGCATAAGACCAAATGATGAATGGAAAACAGCTTTCAGAACCAGGTACGGACATTACGAATATCTAGTAATGCCATTTGGGCTTTGTAATGCCCCTGCAACTTTTCAGCATCTAATCAATGATGTACTACGGGATCTCCTGTTTGTTGTGGCATATTTGGATGATATCCTGATATTTTCTGATAATCTTGAAAATCACAGAAAACAGGTCTGCATTGTTCTTGAGCGCCTTCCTACCCACCACCTATACATTAAACTGGAAAAATGTGAGTTTAAACAAACAGAAATTCAGTTCCTGGGGTATGTAATAACTCCTAAAGGTTTAAGTATGGACGCAAGTAAAATTAAAGCTGTGCTGGACTGGCCCATCCCCAAGAATGAAAAAGATATACAGAGATTTGTGGGGTTTGCCAATTTTTACAGGCGTTTCATTAAGAATTTCTCTGCCGTTATTACACCGATCACTGAACTTACACGTAAAGGGACTCCTTTTCAGTGGTCCAATAAGGCTGACACTGCATTTTCCAGATTAAAGACTCTGTTTACATCTGCCCCTATCTTGGTACATCCTCAGCCAGAATTGCCATTTACTGTAGAGGTAGATGCTTCTGATTCAGCTGTTGGGGCTATACTGTCTCAAAGGACTGGACCTAAGATGTTGTTACATCCATGTGCCTTCTATTCCCGCCAGATGTTACCAGCAGAAAGAAATTATGACATAGGGAATAAAGAACTTTTGGCTATAAAAGCTGCCTTCGCCGAATGGAGACATCTCTTGGAGGGAGCCACCCATCCAATTTCTGTCCTCACAGATCACAAAAATCTGGAATGTATTCAATCCGCTAAGAGACTGTCAGCCAGACAAGCACGCTGGTCCCTATTTTTCTCAAGGTTTAATTTTTATATTTCATACCGCCCTGGTTCCAGAAATGGCAAGGTAGATGGATAGCTGACCCCCTCCATACTACAGTAACCAAGGCCACCATCTTGCCGGAGAGCAGATTTTTAGGAGTTACCTTTCCGTCTGATCTAATGTCTCGCATTAAAAAGGGCTACTCTAAAGATCCAGTTTTTCGTGATCCTCCTCGTGATCTTCATATGACCATGCTTAATGGGTTTTGGATTTTTCAACAACGTCTGTTTGTTCCAAAATCAGTGCGACTGGACGTTTTACGCCTCTACCATGACTCTAAACCAGCAGGTCATCCAGGAATCCGAAAGACACAAGAACTACTTACCCGATCCTTTTGGTGGCCTAAATATTATGAGGATGTTAAGAAGTATGTGTCCTCTTGTGATGTATGTGCCAGACATAAGACTCCTCGCTCATCCCCTGTTGGCTTGCTTCAGCCTCTTCCGATTCCTCATCGTCCCTGGGGATCTATATCCATGGACTTTATTGTGGAACTACCTCCCTCTAAAGAACACACTACCATTCTTGTTGTTGTGGACCGGTTAACTAAGATGAGTCATTTCATACCAGCTCGTGGTCTCCCTTCAGCTAAACAGACTGCTGACCTTGTTATTCGGGAAATATTTTGCTTGCATGGAGTGCCTGATGAAGTAATTTCTGACAGGGGAGTGCAGTTTACATCTCATTTTTGGAAATATTTTTGTTCTATTCTAGGTATTAATGTAAATCTGTCTTCAGCTTTTCATCCACAAAGTAATGGACAGACTGAGCGAACCAACCAGACTTTAGAACAATATTTGCGGTGCTATATTAGTTACCTGCAGGATGACTGGCTGGATTTTCTATCCACGGCGGAGTTTGCCTATAACAATGCCCATCACTGCTCCACTTCTCTGAGCCCATTTTTTTGCCAATTATGGTTACCATCCAACCTTTCTAGTGAGTCTCCCAATTACTACTCCCATTCCTGCAGTCACTGACCGGCTAACCGCCTTACGAGATTCCCAAGAACTGTTGAAGGAGACTCTTTTGGAGGCTCAGGAATGTTACAAAAGAGCTGCTGATAGGCACAGAAAGGAGGCCCCAGTTTATCATGTTGGTGACAAGGTTTGGCTGTCAACAAAGAATCTTAAGCTTAGGATTCCTTCTCATAAATTGGGTCAAAAGTTCATGGGACCTTTTGAGATAATCGCTCAGATCAATGCAGTCACCTTCCGTCTGCAACTTCCGGATTCCATGAAAATACATCCGGTGTTTCACGTGGCACTGCTTAAACCTTTTCATGAAAATACTTTCCCTGGTCGAGCCTTGCCTGCCCCACCACCAGTCCTCGTGGATGGTGAAGATGAATACGAGGTGGAAAAAATTCTTGACTCCAGGATCTTCCACAACAAGCTTCAATATTTGGTTCATTGGAAAGGCTATGGTGAGGAGGATAGATCGTGGGAACCAGTGGACAATATTCATGCTCCTGATCTTCTTCAGTCTTTCCATGCACAGTACCCTGCTAAACCAGGAAATAGGGCATCCAGAGGCTGCGCCTGTAGAGGTGGGGGTAATGTGAGGAACTGACTCTGCTGGGTTTCAAACCCTGGTTTACATGGTGCTAAACCTCTTCCTTACCAGTACACCAGCCTGCCTTTTGCAAATTTACCTGAGATCTGATACCATTGCTTGTAGAGTCAAGGTTATCAGTGACAACTCTCTTCAGCTGTGTCTGGTCAGGTGTCTGGTTCTTGGCCTATAAAAGCCACTTCCTGTCTCTGTACCTTTGCCAGATTATTGTGGTTCCTGTACTCTCTAATCAAGTGTTCCTGTTTCTCCTTCCTGTTGCTGAATTTGGACTGTTTTGACTTTGCTGCTTCTCCTTCCCACTGACCTCGGCTTGCCTCACTACGATTATCATCTTTCTGTTCCAGTCTCCCATTTCTGCATAAGACCAGAAGGCCACTCAAGGCTCAGGGGCTCAACCACCTGGGTAACGAGTGGCTAAGTCTGGCAGAAAACATTGCTGATCTGGCTACTGGACTCCAAAACTTTGTAACATCAATATCATTACACTAACCCTTTATTACACAAATCCTCCTGGCCCGGTATGCGGTCACCCCCGAGCAATACCGCCGAAAGTTTAGGGAGACCCCGAAAGGGGAGAAGGACTCCCATGCGGAGTGTGCATGCCGTATCACAAGGGCCACCCAGAACTGGCTCAACTCCCATCAAGCCAAGTTCCCGGAGGAGATCACCCAGCTCGTCCTGCTAGAGCACTTTTTCAATGGGGTCCCCAACGAAACGGCTGGTGAGAGACCGCCAGTCCCAGACCCAAGAAGTATTGGTATGAGCTGCTGAAGCTAGCTCATGATATCCCCTTGGCAGGGCATTTGGGCAGGAGGTGGACAGCGTCTCGGCTCACCCGCAGCTTCTTCTGGCCAGGCATCTCTCAGGCACAGGGCCCCCCTCCATCCCCTACCTATTAGTGAAGATCCGTTCGGCAAAGTAGCTGTCGACATTATAGTTGCGCAGGCACTTTGGTGACTCTAGAGAACCTCGGGCCAATCTCATGTCCCCATGACAGCGACTTTGCATTCAGATGTCTGCTCTATCAACTTTTGATGCCACTTTCTGCACCTACCATGGTGACCATGGGTAACGGGGAATCAGGGTTTGATTCCGGAGAAGGAGCCTGAGAAAAAGGCTTCCACATCCAAGTAAGGCAGCAGGCGTGCAAATTACCCACTCCCGACGCTGGGACGCGGGGAGGTAGTGACGACAAATAACAATATAGGACTCTTTAGTGGCCCTGTAATTGTAATGAGTCCACTTGAAATCCTTTAACTATGATCAATTGGAGGGCAAGTCTGGTGCAGAGCAACTGACCCGTGCGTGCTGTAGTTGAAACTCAACTATCGCCTGCTGCTACCCACACAGTCTCTCCAGCATGTGCAAGGTGGAGTTCCACCTTGTGGGCACGTAGCATATGAGGCAGTGAGCAGGAAGGCCAAAGATACGCTGCAGCACAGAAAGGCGAGCAGCAGCAGGGTGAGAAAGCGCACACAGCCGCTACAGTGAATGTCACATCCTGTTCCAAGTTGCGGATCAGTCTGGTGATGGCTTCTGGTATGCAGTACTCTTTTTACTGAAGCTGCATCAGGGTCCTTGCATGTGGCCGCACAAACACTGGTGCTCAACACCAGGTAGCGTATGGTTACCCTGCACCAGATCCTGCTAATCCATTCCTCATTGTGACTCCTAACTTTAACATCAGGCATACTGGGTCCCGGTCATCCGACCGCAGCCCAGACAGTGTCGGGGTCCCGGTCACTGGACTGCTGCCCTCAATGTGAAACTTTGAATGGCTCGTTAAATCTGGTACGAACCCAAACGGTTCGCTCAGCTCTATTATGGATTCTTTGATCACTCCCTCTGTTACTTGGATAACCTGTAATTCTCAAGCTAATACATGCCAACGAGCGCTAGGAGACGGCCGCTCCGCTTTTGCACCCTGCTCCCTCTTATGCTGTGCTGGAGCCTCTGTGCGATCAGCGCCTCTTCCTCCACACTGCACACGTCACTCACATGACCTTGATTCCATGTGGGGTCTAGGACTTCATCATCCTCTACCCACTCCTCAACCCTGCCCTCGTTGCCAGTCTGCACACTGCAGAAAGCCACAGCAGTTGGCACTTGTGTTTTTCCAGCATGTAAACTCTGCAAAGGACATATGGGAATTGTTTTAGAATTGTATCCAGGCAACAGTTTTCCCTATAAACTGACCTCTCAGTTTGACTTGTGAGGGTATTGCCCCCAAATTACAATATTGTTATATTGGTATTTGACGGTTCTATTTGACTGTCAGATATGAAGTGTAGGCCGTAAATGTACTATTTAGCACCCAAAAAAAAATTTGAATTGGTCAAACTGCGCTGTAACTACAGTATTTGACAGTTCTATTTGGCTCTCAGATAGGAAGTGCAGGCACCAAATTGACTTTTTAGCTCCTAAAGAATTTGAATGTTTAAAACTGCAATATAAGCACAGTGTTTGACGGTTCTATTTGAATCTCAGATATGACGTGCACCACAGGACGCAAATGTACTATTTAGCACCCAAAACAATTCGAAATTTTCAAAGTGCGTTGTAAGCACAGTGTTTGACGGTTCTATTTAACTCTCAGTTATGAAGTGCACCGCAGGCCGCAAATGTACTATTTAGCACCCAAAACTATTTGAATTTTTCTAAGTGCGCTGTAAGCACAGTATTTGACGGTTTTATTTGACTCTCAGATATGAAGTGCACACCCCAAATTTGCTTTTTATCATCCCAAAAATTTGAATGGGTCAAACTGCGCTGTAAGCACAGTATTTGACTGCTCTATTTGACTCTAAGATATGAAGTGCACCGCAGGACGCAAATTTACTATTTAGCATTAGCACCCAAAACAATTTGAAATTTTCAAAGTGCGCTGTAAGCACAGTGTTTGACGCTTCTATTTGACTCTCAGATATGCAGTGCACTGCAGGCGGCAAATGTACTATTTAGCACCCAAAACTATTTGAAATTTTCAAAGTGCGCTGTAAGCACAGTATTTGACGGTTCTATTTGACTCTCAGATATGAAGTGCACCGCAGGACGCAAAAGTACTATTTAGCACCTAAAACTATTAGAATTTTTCTAAGTGCGCTTTAAGCACAGTGTTTGACGGTTCTGTTTGACTCTCAGATATGAAGTGCACCGCAGGATGCAAATGTACTATTTAGCAGCCAAAAAATTTGAATGTTTAAAACTACTATGTCACAGCACTATTTGATGGTTCCATTTGACTCTCAGATGTGAAGTGCACCGCAGGACGCAAATGTACTATTTAGCATTAGCACCCAAACCAATTTGAATTTTTCAAAGTGCGCTGTAAGCACAGTGTTTGACAGTTCTATTTGACTCTCAGATATGAAGTGCACTGCAGGACACAAATGTACTATTTAGCAGCCAAAAAAATTTGAATGTTTAAAACTGCTATGTCACAGCACTATTTGACGGTTTTATTTGACTGTCAGATATGAAGTGCAGGCACCAAACTGACTTTTTAGCACCTAAAGAATTAGAATTTTTCCAAGTGTGCTATAAGCATAATATTTGACGGTTCTATTTGACTCTCAGATATGAAATGCACTGCAGGACGCAAATGTACTATTTAGCACAAAAAAGTGTGATTTTTTTTTAAACCAACAATGTAAGAGTAGTATTTAAGGGTATTATTGGACTGCAAGAAATGCACCGCAGGTCGCAAATGTTCTATTTAGCAAAAAAAGGGTGTTTTTTTTAAACCAACAATGTAACAGTAGTATTTAAGGGTTTTATTAGACTGCAAGAAATGCAGTACGCAAATGTACTATTTAGCACCCAAAAAATTGCAGTATTTAAAAATGCATAGATGTTGCCCACTGAGCTACCAGAACAGGATTAAAGTCATGTGCAAAGTATGTATAGTGATTGTAGTGAGTGCAAATGTGTATAGTTCATGTAGTGTGATTGTAGTGAATGCAAAACGTGTATAGTGAATGTTGTGTGATTGTGGTGAATGCACAGTGTGTTTATAGTCAATGCAGTGTTTGTAGTGAGTGCAAAGTGTGTTTAGTAAATGTAGTGTGTGTGTGTGTGTATGTGTGCAGTGCAAAGTGTGTTTAGTGAAGGTAGTGTGTGTGTAGTGCAGAGTGTGTTTAGTGAATGTAGTGTGTGTGGGTAGTGCAGATTGTGTTTAGTGAATGTAATGTGTGTATGTGTAGTGCAGAGTGTGTTTAGTAAATGTAGTGTGTTTGTAGTGAGTGTAGAGTGTATTTAGTGAATGTAGTGTGAGTAGTGCAGTGTGTTTAGTGAACATAGTGTGTGTGTGTGTAGTGCAGATTGGGTTTAGTGAATGTAGTGTGTGTGTGTGTGTGTAGTGCAGATTGTGTTTAGTGAATGTAGTGTGTGTGTGTGTAGTGCAGAGTGTGTGCTTGTAAGTATGCCGTGTGTGTGTAAAATAGGGCGGTGGGGAGTATTTTTTTTTTTTAAATTTATTTGTGCATATTTAAATTTTATTCCCCCCTCCCTGCTTCTTACTGCGCCAGGGAGGGAGGAGATTGCATTGTGGAGGGATCCAGCTGCGGTATATTGCTGAGGGGGGCCCAGCAGCACACTGTCTTCCTTTCCAGCTCCTCTGGTAACCCGTGGCAATGCTCTGGTGACCGCAGCGCGCAGGAAAGCTAGACAGAGAGCAGCTGGAAAGGAGGACCAAGTGTTCTGCTGGACCCCTCTGCAATGTACAGGTAGCAGGGGGCCCTCAGTGCACATTTATATAGTGAAACTCGCTATATATATGTGCACATAAGGAATGTGGGGCTTAGACTGCCAGAGTAGTCCGGGCCCCCCAGGGCATAACAATCGTTATGGTTGTCATGCCCTGATGGTGGCCCCTGCCACAGGTAGAGTGCAGTCCCCAATAATTGGATGAATCGGTAATCTTAGTGGTAGAGGTGCTGTCAATACAGTACCCACAAGACAGGGCGTCTCTCTCAGCTCCTTACGCTCTTCCCTTCTCACTGGGTTTTGCTTGCCCTCCGCAGGCCTTGTATGTGCCCAGCTCCGCTGCTGGCCTGCGCAACTCTCCTTCCCTGAGCTACTGACCTCAGCCTTCTCCGCCACGTGCACTGCTTTGAACTCAGCTACCACCTTGGGGCTCTGGTCACTGCCAGAGTAGCGGACTTCTGCTGTGGAGTATGAATTGGCTTTCGAGGTGAGTGTCATTCTGACTGTCATTGGACAGGTTAATGCATTCTGTTTTCAAGTGTTCACCAGAATTTGTGAAAAAGTCTGTCCAACTTTGACAGAATATTAGGCGATTCACCATGTTTTCCAGCAGCCTTTAATGTTTCTCCCCTTGTTTCTATTAGGTCAGCGTAGCCTTCCATCGGGGAACCAGGATCACCACCACCAGTCCTAGGGGTGGGTGTAAAAGGGCACCTGATTAATGCAGATGCATACTGGGTAGCCCGGGGCCAGGAGATTGGCCACCTCTCCTGCCCAGTATACACTAGGCCACATGCTCAAGTGGGCTCTTGTCGAGTCATGGACCATCGTACAGGATTTCAGGTAGATTGGTGGTCTGGTAAGTGGCTGGGTTTTACATAATTTGAGGCTTAATGGTGCATTTGTCCCTAAGATTAGAACTGAGCTCTTCTGGGTTGCATTTTGATCCTGTGAGATACTGACAACTGACATTCATATGTATTCATTTTTTTCATTTTAAATGGTTACTTGAAAAGTGCAGTTTTAATTTACTGCTTTATCATAGCAAAAATATGTTTTTATTTGTCAAAATAAATATGTTTTAAGGTTCTTTACATGTAACTTTTTTTTTAACGCAAGTAAGGCCCGCTGTTAAGTGTATTTGACTTTTGTAGGATGATTGGGAATTCTGATCCCCATGCCAATAAAAATTAAATGTCTAAATTTCATTTTATTATATATATGGAATTTAAATATGTGTTTTCAATTCTAACTACTATATTGTATTAAGCGAAAAGGGAATAAAACATAGTCTGCTATTAGATAACGCAGAATTTCATTATTCCCAATTATTTAAATATGAAAATCACAAATATCGCATGTTTCAGCAATACTCACATATTAGTAAGGATACTGTTACTTTAAGATTTCCATCAAATGATTTCAAGCAGACAAGTTAATGAAACATCAGTTAGAGCTTCCGATAAATGATTATATCCATAAAGGACAAA